CCCCCCCAAAAAAAAAACAAAAAACAAAAAACAAAAAAAAACACCCAAAAAAATCTGGATCTGCCACAGTAGATAGCATGAAGAAGAAGAAACCATGTATGCAATAGTAGCTAGCAATATTCATGCCTAATTTTAAAGATTGATCTGCTTTAACACTTAGTTCCTTTTGAGTTCTAAAAGCATATGCTGTGAAAAATATGCACACTAGAGATAGTTCAAAGCCTTAAACATTATGAAATACTCATGGTCTCTTGCGGTATACAAATCAACTAAATATCTTTTAAGTAGCTTTTCATAACAAAATTGACCGAATTACATTTCTTGGGTTAATTGCTGATAGTCCCTTGTACTATCACCCAATTGTGGATAGACCCCATGTGGTTCAATGTCGTAGATTGGCCCTCTGTGACACTATTTTACCCTCAAAGGAAGAGAAAATTATTATTGAAGATAAGACCTACGGGTGAGTCAAACGAAGTTCATTCGCAAGTTCTATCGGCAACAACAGAACTACAAGGGATCTATCTGCATTTAACTTCTTCTTTTTTGCTACTACACCATTGTAAAAGGGATAACATTCTAATTTAAGAAGCAAGTAGACCATCCCTAGCCATTTGAACTAATGCAGAGAAGAAACATTAACCAAGTTACAGGGTACTGATTTTTGGGTTAATTGCGAATTGACACCCTGTAGTATCACCAATTGCGAACAGACCCCTTGTAGTTCTATTTGTGCAAATTGACCCCCTGAGTGAATTTCTTTAAACTCTTAGAACCGTTAAAGAAGTCTTGAGGAGGCGGATAGACCCCCTATAATTTTGTTGGTACGGATAGAACCCGAATTGCTATTTTTTAACTTTTTTAAGTCGAAAAAGTTCACTAATGGCGTCTATTCAAGCCTTACTAGTATAGTGGGGTCTATTCACACAAATAGAATTGGGATGTCTATTTGCAATTGGGTGATACTACAAGGGGTCTATTTGCAACTAACCCATGATTTGTTATTAATATATTATTACTAGTAGAAACACATTTATAGATAGCAAACCAACTATGATGATAGCAAATGTCCTTAAAAATGACTTCACAAGCAACATACGCTAAGTTGCCAACATAAAGGATAAGCATCCGATACTTGGAAACATAACAATCATTTCAGCACTTCTGAACTTTTTGAAAACTATTGGGGGGATAATGTTAAAATTCTTCTGAAAAGAAGGCAGTAAACTTGCATTAATAGGAACGATGATCAATAAAAACCAAATTAACAGCTAATAAGAAAATATTGAATAAAGGGTAAATCTCTCAGCCCCTCCCCCTATTTCAATTCCACAAAACCCTCTGAACTTTGAGTGGTTTCGCACATAACCCCCTGAACTTTTCTTCCACTAAACCCCCTTGAAGATTTTTCACTTTTACCTAATAGTAACAACTAACATTATCTAGGCTATCATGTCATGTGCCAAGAACGTGATTAGAAAAGGAGAAAATTAAAATATCTCTCACAATAGTCAAAAAAATTAATGGAAATATAAAAAGGATGTATGGGTGATCTCTTGAGGGCTGAATAGCACTTTCATTTTTTTCTGGTCATATGTTTGGCATGTGACACGTTAGACTTGACGTTGTTCTTTTAGGTAGTTAAAGTACCTTTAAGGAGTTTAGTGGAGTAAAAGAAGTTGAGAGGGTTATGTGAAAAACCCCTCAAAATTCAGGGGTTTTGTGGATTTAAAATAGTTAAGGGGTTATCTGAAAACCAGCCAAAGTTAAAAGGGTTTATGAAATTTCCCCTGAATAAAAAGGAATATGACAAAAGGAATACTACATCAAGTGCATACAATACATTTTTACAAGTTTTCTTCCATAAAATAAGCTAGAAACACGATGCCAAACGTTCAATCCTAATGTCACAACCTCTTCAAGGACCCAAAGAAAACAAAATCCTATAAGCCGTACACATAAATTAATTAATTTTCTTTATATCAACTCTAAAAGCTCAATTCCTTTCAAAGTTCTCAAAATTGATTGCCTCTACCCAGAAATTATCAGAACAGAAATAATCTAAATGAAAGAAATAGTAGATCAACAGACAATTAAGTAAACAAAGGAACAAAATAATCAACTCTTACTATACATCGCAACAAGGAAATTGGAGTTTCTAATCTGTTTTTTTAACTTATTTGCTCAAGAGAAGCTTGAAGAAATAAGAATCAGGGTCAAATGCAGAGTTCAAGTGTAGGGATTAGTTTCGATGTGAAGGGTTTTTGAGAGCGAGATGTAACCGCTGGGCGAAGGAGTTGAGGCTGAGGGGGAAGAGATAGAAAGGCATTTCTTTTGAGGGAGAAGACAGGAGGAGGCATTTCTATTCAAGTAGAAAGGATTTTTTTTGTTCATGTGTCGTAAATCATTATTATTTATAAATGTCTTCTGCTCATTCGGTTCGGATTAACCCTTATCATATCTGTATCCGCTTTCTAAAAATGAATACAAATATGGATATACTTCAGTAAGAAAAGGTCATAACCATATCCGCATTAAATAGAAACGTATATGGCTTGTTATAGAAGTAGATACGGATACGATCACGAATACAAATCAGATATTAGTAAAACTAATGTGACTCGGATATGAATTGGATATAACAAAAAAATATGTATAATCACAAGTAGTGTGAATATTTAAAATCATATACTAACCACAAACTATAGTGAGAGATAAATTTGACTAACATAGCACAAACTCCTCTGGTTATGTGCCTCTTAATCACACAATAACTTGTTCTCCGCACTTCCACTCCAACTCGGACCTGAGGTAAATAATATAATAATCAACACAGCCAACATAAATATGTTAGGAAGAAGCGGAATGAATCCAAAAGCTAAGATTATCACAAGCTAAGTGATCAATATGAAGACCTATTTGCGTAGGAGTCTTGCTTTAGGCTAGAGATCCTCCACAATGAAAAATCGACATGACTCTAAATTGCATTCACGCTAACATTTATTTATTTATTTATTCCCTCTAATTCTCAATATCTCAACTAGGGATGGCAAAATTGACCAGAACCATTTGCCCATCCATACTCATCTACTAAATGAACCATCCAAACTCACTCATTTAGTTAAATGGGTGATAAATGGGTGGGTATTTTCTGTTAAAGATAAATGGGTCATAAATGGGCGGGCTATTACCCGCTCATTTACCCATTTAGATTTAGATGGGTATTCTTTCAAAAACACCCTCAAAGTTTCAACAACTACAAAAAATATTTTTAAAAGTTTAGAATTATAGAAAACACCTTAAAGGTAACAAAGGACCAATAGCCATAAAATTTTGAGAATTACCAACCCCTTAAATTTTTGAGATTTGCAAAAAACACCCTCGAAGTTTAAATAACTCTCAAAACTTTCTAACCTCACAAATGACACATGAAATCATGAAATTTCCAGTAAACCCATATAAATTTAAAATTTGCAAATAACGCTCTCAAAGTTTAAAAAAATGAGAAAAATACTCTCAAGTGTTTAGAAATATGAAAACAACCATGAAATTTCAAAACCTAGCTAAGGTACATAAAATCCAAAAATTACCAGTAGCCCCTTGCAAATTTATAATTTGCAAAAAACCCTTAAAGTTTAAAAACTTGTAAAAACACCCTCAAGTGTTTAAAATTACAAAACAATCTCAGAAATTTCTAAACTTGACACATGAAATCTAAAAAATTTCAACAATCCCCTATAAATTTAAAATTTACAAATAACACCCTCATAGTTTTAAAAATTGCGAAAACACCCTCAAGGGTTTAGAATTACAAAAACCATCCTGAAATTTCTAAATCTACAAATGACACATAAAATCCAAAAAATTACCAGCAGCCCCCTACATTTTTATATTTTACAACAAACAACATCAAAGTTTAAAAATTACAAAAAACCCTCAAAAGTTCAAAATTATATAAACCTCTTAGAATTTTCTAAACCTACAAATACATAAAATTTAGAAATTGCCACCAGTCCCCTATAAATATAAAATTTACAAAAAACACCCTAAAATTTTGAAAATTATGAAAAACACCCCTAGGTTTGAAATTTATGGAACACAATCGCAGAAGATGCTTCTAATTTCTAGGTTTGTAGTGCGCTAATCTATATGTTGTGAAATTTTTTGGTGTTTTATGAAATTTTTTATTTTGAAATTTTAAGGGTGTTTTTTGAAACTTTGAGGGTATTTTTTTCAAATTTTAAATTTACAATGTTGGAGATTTCTAAATTTCATGTGTCATTTATAAGTTTAGAAAATTCTGATAATTTTATATAATTTTAAGCTCTTGAGGGTGTTTTTGTAATTTTTAAAATTTGAGGATGTTTTTGGAAAAATATAAATTTTTAGGAGGATGCTTATAATTTATGGATATCATGTGTCATTTGTAGGTTTTGAAATTTCAGTATGATTTTTTGTAATTCTAAACCCTTTTGAGGGTGTATTTCGCATTTTTCAAAACTTTAAGGGTGTTTTTTTTAATTTTATATTTATAGGGGACTGGTGGCAAATTTCAGATTTCATGTGTCATTTACAAGTTTAGAAAATTCTAAGATTGTTTTGTAATATTGAGCTTTTGAGGATTTTTTTTAATTTTTAAGTTTTGAGGGTTTTTTTGCAAATTATAAGATTTTAAGGGGCTACTAGTAATTTTTTGATTTTGTGTCATTTGTAGCTTTTGAAATTTCTGGGTGGTTTTTGTAATTCTAAACCCTTGAGGGTGTTTTTACAATTTTTAAAACTATGAGGGTGTTATTTGTAAATTTTAAATTTATAGGTAATTGCTGAGAATTTTCAGATTTCATGTGTCATTTGCAAGTTTAGAAAATTCTGAGAATATTTTGTAATTTTGAACTCGAGGGTGTTTTTTACAAGTTTTAGACTGAGGGTGTTTTTTGTAAATTATAAATTTATAGGGTGCTGCTGGTAATTTTTTGGATTTCATGTACCTTAGTTAGGTTTTAAAATTTCAGGGCTATTTTTATAATTCTAAACCCCTAAGGGTGTTTTCGTACTTACTAAAATTTTTAAAGGTGTTCTTTATAAATATTAAATTTATAGGGGGTTGTTGAAAATTTTTAGATTTCATGTATAATTTGTAAGTTTAAAAAATAGACCATTAAAAATTTTTATATATAAAAGTTCAATAGCTAAATGGGTTATTGGGTCACCCATGAACCACTCATTTAATAAATGGGTGGATGAGAAGGGATTCGTTTAGCAGATGCTAAATGGGTCATAAAGGACAAATAGGCACAAATGTGCTCACCCATTTATGACCCACCCAAAAACACCCATTTGACAACCCTGATCCTCAACAGACAAATGATTCGAGGCTTCTGTGAAGTTTAGTAAATCTGCTAAACTTCACGGGAGTTGAACTCCCGTGAAGTTTAGCAGCTTTACTATAAACTTCACGGGAGTTGAACTCCCGTGAAGTTTCGGAAACAAATTTTCAAAAACCGACATGATTTCAGCGTCAGGGCTGAAATCAGGAGTTTTTGAAAATAAGTTCAAAACAGATTTTTTTTTGAGATTAAATGTGGAAATAGGTTGGTTTTGAAAATTCTTCATATCAAAAGGTAACCAAGATTGTCGAGGTGTGCAGCCATGGCCTTGTTTCAAGTATGTCAAAAAACATTAGTATAGATCAATATATGCTTCATAATATCACATTTGTGTGAAGTGCTACAATACAATCCCAAGACAAAAAGGAAAGGTACAATAAAACTGAAAGCAAATTAGGGCTAGTAAATTAGGGCTTTTAAATTAGGGTTTTGAGTTCACCTTGCTGATCGATGATGGCTGAGGAGGAGAAGAGCCCGAGATGAAGAGGGTTTGGGCTTTGATGGATGAAGGCGGAGGAGTGCGGAGCCCTAGAGCTTGAACGGAGGAGAACCGGAGAAGGAAGACGGAGCAGCGAGGGCGGTTAGGCTTTCACTTTAAAAAAAAGGCGGAGGAATCGAGAGATGCTTCGAAGGATTTGACCGACTGCCCTTCGTCACTGGCTCCCAAAATATCACCCGTGCCCCCTGCTTTCTTTTCTGAAAATGTTCATGGGTATTTTTTCCTTCTTGCCCGAATTTTTATAAAACTTACACGGCACAAAATTGCAGCGAAACCTTTCACGTTCCTTTTCTTAGTTTTCTATATGGGCTTTTCGCACTTAAATACACCGAAGTTTATTTTATCTTTAGCTTTGTTACCATCCTTCTCTTTTTGTCGACAACATCTCAAAATTCAACACAATTTTACTTTGATACCTCAAACTTACACGGCACAAAATTGCAGCGAAACCTTTCACGTTCCTTTTCTTAGTTTTCTATATGGGCTTTTCGCACTTAAATACACCGAAGTTTATTTTATCTTTAGCTTTGTTACCATCCTTCTCTTTTTGTCGACAACATCTCAAAATTCAACACAATTTTACTTTGATACCTCATCTCCCTGGTTGGTGATAATAGGGACAATGCAAATAATCTATGCAGCTTCAACTTCTCTTGGTCAACGCAATTTAAAAAAGAGAATCGCCTATTCTTCTGTATCTCACATGGGTTTCATAATTATAGGAATTGGTTCTATAACCGGCATGGGACTCAACGGAGCCATATTACAAATACTCTCTCATGGATTTATTGGTGCTGCACTTTTTTTCTTGGTAGGAACGAGTTGTGATAGAATACGTCTTGTTTATCTCGACGAAATGGGGGGGATATCCATTCCAATGCCAAAAATATTTACTCTGTTTAGTAGTTTCTCAATGGCTTCTCTTGCATTGCCAGGAATGAGTGGTTTTGTTGCGGAATTAGTAGTATTTTTTGGAATAATTACCAGTCCAAAATTTCTTTTAATGCCAAAAATATTAATTACATTTGTAATGGCAATTGGAATGATATTAACTCCTATTTATTTATTATCTATGTTACGTCAGATGTTCTATGGATACAAACTATTCAATGTTCCAAATTCCAATTTTGTGGATTCTGGACCAAGAGAACTATTTGTTTCGATCTGTATCTTTTTACCCATAATAGGGATTGGTATTTATCCGGATTTCGTTCTCTCGCTATCAGTTGACAAGGTACAAGGTATCCTATCTAATTATTTTCATAGATAGTTTTCAGTACTGAGACAGAAATCAAAGTTTTCGTTTTAAGAGTTTTTAAATCATTCGCTATAGACTACAACGCAAAAAAAGAAAAGGAATTCAAATTGTAATAAGATGTATTCCGGGTTTTTGAGAACCATTTGAATGATTCCTTGATTCAAATGGTTCTCAAAAACCCGCACAAACTTTCCGTTATATATGGGACGATGGTCTTATGTATTCCTCATGGAATTTATTCAATTAGATGTTAATGTGAATGAACCATAACTATGTAGACCTATTCCTAATAGATTGATCCCAAAATAGCATATCCAAATTATAAGAAATCCTATAGAAGCTACAAGTGCCGAATTCGTACTTTGCAAAGTTTGATTTGTTCTAGTATGTGAATAAATCGCGAATATAGTCCAAGTAATAAAGGCCCAAGTTTCCTTGGGGTCCCAATTCCAATAAGATCCCCATGCCTCATTAGCCCATACTGCTCCAGAAAGAATACCTATGGTTAAAAAGGTAAACCCTAAACTAATGACACGATAACTCCAATAATCCAAACGCTGAGTTAATTGATATTTGTAATAATTTTGAAATGAAACAAAGGAAGTGTGTTTAAAAACATTTTTTTTTTCGTTCAAGTATTCGATCTTGCCAAAGAAAAATGACTTAATCTTAATTAAGTCAATACCAAAAATATCGATGTTTTTGCGAAATGTAATGACTAGAAAAGCCACTGATAATAACGACCCACATAAAAGAGCTGCGTAACTCAATAACATCATACTTACGTGCATCATTAACCATTGAGATTGTAGAGCAGGTACTAATATTGACGATTGGTGCATTTCACTTGAAAGACCCGATGTAGCGAAACCTTGGGTAAAAATGGCACTTGGGGCGGTTATTGCGCTTAAATCATTTTTCTGATTCCGTATCTTGGAAATCATATGAATAATGGAAAAACTCCATGAAAGGAAGATTAATGACTCGTATAAATTACTTAATGGAAAATGTCTCGAAGAAATCCAACGAGTAACTAATAATCCTGTTATAGAAAAAAAAGTAGCTATCATTCCTTTTTCCGACGAATCCCGCAACCCTATAATTTCGTGGACTAATAGGGTCATCAAATGAATCATAATCACAATTGAAATGATCGAAAAAGAGAGATGAGTTAATATATGTTCTAAAGTGACAAATATCATAGATAAAAGAGGTCCCATTACAGAATGGAAATAGGGAATTAAATACATTATAGGATGCATTGTATCTCTATGCCGCCACTCGGACTCGAACCGAGATGCTCTAGCACTGCTTCCTAAGAGCAGCGTGTCTACCGATTTCACCATAGCGGCTTACTTGAAATAATAATAATCAATTCATATTGAATCGTCTAGATCCAATATAGTTTAGGAACCATTAGAACTGATAAATAAGATTTGAATTCATCTTTGAATTTTCAATAATTCTTAATTAGGTTAGTATCATCGTAGGTTCAGTTTTAACAATCAACTTTTAGGTACTATCTATATGCTAGGTTCCCCCGGAACATTTGGAATTTGAAATGAAAGTTTTTTCAGTCGAAATAGAAACTAAGAACTGCCCCCTTTACTTTTTTTTTATATATATATTTATTTATATATTTTATATTTTGAATCCGCGAAATCAGATAAATGAAAAACAAATCGTCAAAGAGATTTATTTTATCAATGAACAAAATGAAAAAAATTGAATAAAATTCTATAGGATTTCATATTTATCATTTATCACAATTTAATTACTAATACTAAATTTCAATTTAAGGAATAACAATTTCGAGACTTTTCTTAGTATCATTAAGTATTAATTAACTATTAATATAATAGTTTATTGTGTACAAAATTTCTAAATAAAAAAAATTTCAATATTCATCACAACTTTCTTTTCCCAATAGAATGAACAAAGATTTTTCTATTAGGAAAAGAAAATTAATAGGACAAAAACCATCTCACAAATTAATAAATAGATTCTAAAAAACTAGAATGAAAAAAAAAAAATAATAATAATGATATTTAGAACCGACAGACAAAGAAATTCTTATTCTATATATTATAGCAGCTAGTTCTAACTAATATTGAGGAGTTCAATATATCAATACATTAGTTAATGGGAATTCTTCCTATTCCAAAATTGAAAGTTCTTCTAGCTACGGAAATTCCTATTATTCCAAGATTTTCTTACTTGTTTGTCGCACAAAAAAACTTTTTGAATCTCCGGTGGAAACTGACTTTGCTAAAGAAAAAGCCTTTATTGCAGCTAAATATCCCTTTTTCTTCCAAATATTTCTACGAATACGTTTTTTTGATATAGAAGTACGTTTTTTTGGAACTGCCATTCAAAAAAAGAGTTACTTATTTTTATTTTTGTATGTGAAAGACATGTATTGCTCAAAATGGGTCATTCTTTTTTAGTCATTTTCTATACTTAATTACGTCTATAATAGTTTTTTTTTCATAACATACATTTTTTTTATAAGATACAATACTACAATACAAATATATATTATATTATTTATATAATATAAATAATATTAATATAAATAATATATAAAAATATATGTATGTCACATATCTAACACACTAGGGAAGAAAATAGAAGAAAGGAGGGGAAAATTTGAAAATGAAAAGGGATTTTTATTACTATTAGTTGTAATTGAATAAGCTCATAGTGCCGTGTCTATAATTTACGTTCAAACTTCAACTACAACTAGTAGTTAATATCTTAAACAATATATATATATATATATATATATATATATATATATATATATATATATATATATATATGTGTGTGTGTGTGTGTGTACACACACACATATATATGTATATATACACACATATATATATATATATACACACACACACACATATACACACACACACACACACACACATATATATATATATGTGTGTGTGTGTGTGTGTATTAATGGTTATCCTTGACATAGGAGGGGATTTTCTCCTTGACGCCTATGTGGCACAATCCCCACCGTTCTCATAAAGTAGGAGAGAGAGTATGTGAGTTGGTGGAGATTTGTGCGTACTTTATGAGGATGACGGGGATTAGTTGTAATTGAATAAGCTCATAGTGCTGTGTCTATAATTTAAGTTCAAACTTAAACTACAACTAGTAGTTAATATCTTAAACAAGACTTTCCATTACCTAAGAAATGGAACTTCCATTTTTAGTTATTTTTATTTTATTTTAATTCTATTCTATATACAAAGTAAGAAGTATTTATAAGATAAGATTTCAAATACTTTCTTCTTGGATTGGAATCCAATCAATTAGTTCCGCAGTAATTACTACAAATAAATTCACTAGAATAACTAGATCTTTTTTCATTTATTGATGCATCCATATTCTACTGTTTTGGTATAATTGTTTTTATTTACTAGACTATAGTATATGATAGTCTTACATATTACCAGAATAGAATGATAATATAGTTGTAGAATGATTTAAAATCTCATATTCCTCATTTCTATAAATATCTTTCTTTAGTTAATAAAGTTAATAACTAAGTAATTATTCTTACCTAACTCTTTGGTCATATCATTTGACTAACAAATTGAATTGGAACTTTTTGAATATTTCCTCCAATTTCTGAGAAAAGTCAGAATAATGAAAAATCAAAAACTTTTCATATCTTTTTTTGTTGATTTTTTTTTGTTCCTTTCGAAAACGATAAGAATTGGTGAATCGGAAACAATTATAAGATAAGAAAAAATGGAAATTTGTTTTTTTTATGGAACATACATATAAATATGCGTGGATAATACCTCTTCTTCCACTTCCAGTTACTATGTTAATAGGATTTGGACTTTTGCTTATTCCGACAGCAACAAAAAATATTCGTCGTATGTGGGCTTTTCCAAGTGTTTTGATGTTAAGTATAGCTATGGCATTTTCGGTTAATCTGTCTATTGAGCAAATAAATGGAAATTCTATCTATCAATATCTATGGTCTTGGACCGTCAATAATGATTTTTCTTTAGAGTTCGGACACTTGATCGATCCACTTACTTCTATTATGTCAATATTAATTACTACTGTTGGAATCATGGTTCTTATTTATAGTGACAATTATATGTCTCACGATCAAGGATATTTGAGATTTTTTGCCTATATGAGTTTTTTCAATACTTCTATGTTGGGATTAGTTACTAGTTCCAATTTGATACAAATTTATATTTTTTGGGAACTTGTAGGAATGTGTTCCTATTTATTAATAGGTTTTTGGTTCACACGACCAATTGCGGCAAGTGCTTGTCAAAAAGCTTTTGTAACCAATCGTATAGGGGATTTTGGTTTATTATTAGGAATTTTAGGCCTTTATTGGATAACGGGTAGTTTAGAATTTCGGGATTTGTTCGAAATAGTTAATAACTTGGTTCAGAATAATGGAGTAGATTCTTTATTTGCTACTCTGTGTGCTTCTTTTTTATTCCTTGGTGCAGTTGCTAAATCCGCACAATTCCCCCTTCACATATGGTTACCTGATGCTATGGAAGGACCCACTCCCATTTCGGCTCTTATACATGCTGCTACTATGGTAGCAGCGGGAATTTTTCTTGTAGCTCGGCTTCTTCCTCTTTTCATAGTTATACCTTCCATAATGAATCTTATTTCTTTAATAGGCGTAATAACAGTACTATTAGGAGCGACTTTGGCTCTTGCTCAAAGAGACATTAAAAGAAGTTTAGCTTATTCTACAATGTCTCAATTGGGTTATATTATGTTAGCTTTGGGCATAGGTTCTTATCGAGCAGCTTTATTCCATTTGATCACTCATGCCTATTCGAAAGCTTTATTGTTTTTGGGATCCGGATCTATTATTCATTCAATGGAACCCATTGTTGGATATTCACCAGAAAAAAGTCAAAATATGGTTCTTATGGGCGGTTTAGCAAAATATGTTCCAATTACAAGAATTACTTTTTTATTAGGTACACTCTCTCTTTGTGGTATTCCACCTCTTGCTTGTTTTTGGTCCAAAGATGAAATTCTTAATGATAGTTGGTTGTATTCACCAACTTTCGCAATAATAGCATCCTTCACAACAGGATTAACCGCATTTTATATGTTTCGGATGTATTTACTTACTTTTGATGGACATTTGCGTATTCATTTTCAAAATTACAGTAGCACTAAAAGTAGTTCTTTTTATTCAATATCTTTATGGGGAAAAAAAGTACCTAAGGCAGCCAATAGAAATTTACTTTTATCAACAATGAATACGAATAATAAGGTCTCTTTTTTTTCAAAAAATACATATAAAATTGATGATAATGCAAGAAAGAGAATACGATACTTTAGTACTTACTTTAGGAATAAATATACTTACACCTATCCTCACGAGTCGGACAATACTATGTTATTTCCTCTGCTTGTATTGGTATTATTTACTTTATTCGTCGGAACAATCGGAATTAATTTTGATCGAGGAGTAATGGATTTTGATTTATTATCGAAATGGTTAACTCCATCCACAAACTTTTTCCATCCAAATTTGAATGATTCCTCGGATTGGTATGATTTTTTGGAAAATGCAGTTTTTTCTGTAAGTATAGCCCTTTTTGGATTATTTATAGCATCTATTTTATATGGATCTGTCTATTCATCTCTACAGAATTTAGACTTAGTCAATTTATTTGTAAAGAGGGTCCCAAAAAGAATGCTCTTGGATCAAGTAAAAAATGTGATATACAATTGGTCATATAATCGCGGTTACATAGATATTTTTTATACTAGAATTTTTACTGTGGGTATAAGAAGACTGGCCGAACGAATTCAGTTTTTTGATCGGTATATAATTGATGGAATTATAAACGGGGTTGGCGTTGCTAGTTTCTTTATAGGGGAAGGAGTTAAATATATGGGAGGTGGACGAGTCTCTGTTTGTGAAAGTGAGTAGATTTAGGGAAATTTTGATTTATAGCTTCATAGATGCCTTTTTAATTTTAATTTGTTTATTTGTTTTAGGGACTTTGATTTATAGCTATTTACTGGATCTGAAGGGAAATTTTGATTTATAGCTTCAAAGATGCCTTTTTAATAGCTTCAAAGATGCCTTTTTAATTTTAATTAGGGAAATTAGAATGTAGAGTCTTTCCCTTGTGTCTTAAGGAGATGAACCGAAGAGGATGTAGAATTTTTTGAGTTTAGGTTTTTATTTTATTTTCTTTTGTAGCTTTTATGCTGTATGTAAAATATAATGTAAACGCTATTATTCTCCATCCTGCTGCTTTGTAGAGGTTTTTTCTATCGTGGTTGTTTGGTTGATTGCTACGAGGTTGGTTTTGTAAGGTGAATGTATCGTTCTTTTTGGTAGTTTCCCACAGAAACTCGGCAGAAAATACAAGTGAAAGAGTATAGTCGATATAGATTCTAATGTTCGATTCCTTGTTTGTCCTTTTCAATCTAGAAATCTCATGCTTGAGGATATGGTAGATAGACGATTGTGCTTGCACATCTTATGCAAGCAAGACGGAGAATGTGAGTTGATAAAGATCGATTCGTCTGTGTTTTTGTTGATTCTTTCCTTGAGCACTGATTTAGCAGCGCCCATCAGAATGGTGTTAGTGTCATGAATGCAGATTTGGTTGATAAATTTAGACCATAAATCAAATATACGTTTGCATTGTAGTTAGGTTCAAACTATTTCAATTTGCACTACTGATCATGACTAAATTTGGTTTCATGATAAAGTTGTATATTTTACTCAATGGTGTCATCTTCAAGCACTTGTCATGGATTGATGTGCCATTGTGGAAGGAGGGCTATACTCTTCAGATCTGGAACTAAGATGAACCCTGGTCGATTATTTTTGGGATGCGCTAATTGGAAAGTGAGTAATTGTGGATTCTTCAAATGGGTGTCTGATGAAGAGGAGTTTGAAGGCTCAAAGACAAGGCTTGTTCAGACGAAGCAGTCGAGCGTGATCCCGCAAGTTTCAAGTGCCTTGTTAATTGGAGAAGTTCGGGAAAAGAGAAAGATTGAAATTGATATTATGGAATTGTTGAAACTTGTTGTATTTGTTCTTTTATTCGGTATTTTTCTTGGATTTGTAGTTGGTATTTTTATTGGATTTGTGCTAAGTAGGGTGTAAGATAAAATCACCATGTGAATACATGTTGTATATTGTTAAAATGTGAATACATGTTGTATTGAAGTATTTGTATGTTGTGGTTGTAAGGACTAATTGGTTTGATTTTGTAGTATTTTGGTTGTATCTTGATATGTGTATTTAATTTATAATCTGTCTCCTTTAGCTTAGACTTGTATTTCTAGATTGAATTTTGCATTCTACCTTTTTATTTGGTTTTTCCTTTTGCATGATCGGCTGCCTCATGGTGCTATATGTGTTCTTTTAATCATTTAGTAATTCTGAGCCATGATGCTCATATACATGGATGCTAAAAGCATCTTTGTGTTTTGTAGAACAAACCACTTATACAGAAAGTCATTCTTCTCCATGTTCCTGGCCTGGATGCTGCACTTTACATGTCAAATTCCAGCATACTCTTCAAGTATGAGAAAACGTTGTGGTAATCCAATGCCAGTTTTAGCTCTTAGGTTTGTGAGAGAAGTTTTAGTTAGATGTTGATAGTTTGAATCATTTTTAAGCTGTATGTTTCATCTGAATATATTCAACATGATAATTCGTAACCACATTGATAGTATATATCCAGAATTATTCAACATGATAGTATATATCCAAAATTACATCATTGATCCTGACTTGAGCAAAGAAACAATTGTGAATAATTCGTAACCACATTCAACATGATAGTATACATCCAGAATTACATCATTGATCCAGAATTACATCATTGATCCAGAATTACATCAAGGCCGTATATGATGTAAGGCCGTATATACTACTGAGCTGTCTCTCCGCGACCAATTTTGATCTGCATTCTGAAAATGGCAAGAATGATCACAGGAATTTCACTAAACATATACAACCCACCCCAGCTGTAGCAGAAGCAAGCTTAAGTCGCAACATTTTTTTATAATCTACTATCTCCAGCACAGCAATATTCCCGTTCTCCTGGCTCTGCAGTTTGTTGAGACTAGAGAATAGCTACTCAATGGGCTTTTTATGCTCAGCCACCCGGAGAAGAAGTGCCGACAAAGCAAGGCATATCTGAGTTAATAGCTGCAACAATAGAAAAGTAGACAAACTCTCAGCTAATACCTACCAAACAGAAAGAAGAAAGTAGAACTGACTGCACAAGGGAATCATTTGCTAATGCCTCAAACCACAGTATCTATTTCTTTTCATGTGTTTCAATTCAACACAATTAACAATGGGTCAATGCGACACAAATAATTCTTGAGAAACACCAACATGCACAGATTGGAAAGATAAATTCTTGACGCCTTATAGTGCAGCTTTATCTAATCCTATTATCAGTAACCCAATTATCCATAACGAGTTCAAAATGGGTATGTGCGCTATATACATTTTGTAGGAACAACGAATGCATGCCTGGATTCCTATTTTTCCCAGTGTCCAGATTCCATTAACCTTTTTCAATTTGTAATTTCCTTATTCATCCACACCCCTTCATCATCCCTTCATTATACAAATATATAGAGACACCAGTATACTGTCATACTACAGGAGAAGACAGCGAGGCAAATGAAGAAAAATGCAGATTCAGACATGTCCTTGAATCTTGATTTGTGCCTTGGTTACAAGCCGACAGTTTCTATGGCGGATACCTCCTCCACTCGTACGCCTCGAGTCTCTAGAATGCCAACTAACAATCCACCCGATCTGAAGAGGGACCTCATCTTTCTCATTCTCTAATTATTGGATGAGGGAAAATTCTCAGTAACCCAATTATCCATAACGAGTTCAAAAAGTTCAAGAAACATAGACGCAAAGAGGAACATTTCCAGCCCATATATCTTTCCAAAAAAAATTCTATTAATTTTCTAGATTACCTTCGTCTCTCCTGTCACGGCGGAGTCGGAGAGGGGTTAGGGGAGGAGTCGCGGCCAAGTTCTTAGGGGCGGAGGAGTCGTGGCGGCGGCTAAGGAGTCACCGCATCGGTGTCGGAGGAAGGAGACTGCGGCCCCGACGTGGTCGGCTTTTCCCTTACTATTTGAGATTGCTAGAGACCTACTTAGTGGCAGACCAATTTGTATGGAGAGATGGAACTAGAGTCTGGAGAATTCCATTTAGAAAACCGGTCGACGAGTCTCGGTTCCCGGCCTTGGTTTAAATTTGACAACTGATCAATTCTTACAACTGGAAGGATAGAGATCGTTGGCGGCGGCCTTGGCATCCTTCTGGAATCTTCTACGTCAAATCATTTGCAAATTTTTTGAATGGGCCGTCTTCTATGCCCATTCTCCAAAGCTCTATGGAGCTCGGCCGCCCCGATAAAGGTAAAGATCCAAATCAAATGTGCTTGCTTATTAATAACAGAGTTCCTCACTCTTGACAATCTCCGCAAAAGGGGCTTAGCTCAGGGCCAATCTTGATGTGTAGAACTCATGATGAATCGGCTTTCCACCTTTTCATACGATGCCACAGAGTACCTTATCTTTGGGTCCTTTGCAAGAAGGCTATGAAGGTGTGGATTGCTTTCGTCAATCAAGAAAATCTCCTTTCGTATTGGAAAGTGCAATGTAGTTGTGAATTTTGATCTCCCAAAATAGGGATTTCGTTTGTATTGATAAGAATAGCTTATTACAACAGAAGCGGAGGGAATGCCCTCCTTGTTTAACGTGGGGACTTTCGGTAGCTATAGGACACCTCGTTCGATTCTCGCACCGAGTCTGCTTCCCTTGGACGATCCGACCGAGGTTGCTGGCGAGCTTCAGTACGCAGTAGGAGCTCGGGTCGGTAGAGTTTGACCCTCCGAGTTTGATGGCGATCAGGGCCCGAAACTAGGAGGAGATGCTATAGTGCGAAGATTGTGTAAAGAGCTTGTCGTCAACTCAGTCGAGAGTTGAGAGCTAGTGGTTCAGCCGACTGATTGGTTTAATCAGTTGACTACGAGCGGATTCAACTGCTAAGCTGAAAACGCTAACCAAACCCATCTTCCGTGACCGGAAGAAATTCTTAAAATAGAGGAGAGACGGCATGTTCGCTCCTTGATCATGGATTATGCTGACCATCGTACTGTTGGGAGACATCAATGTCCTCTTTGGCTTGTACCCATGAGCGGTGGGTAGATGGGCTCGGACGCACTGAACTTGCTTCCCTTCACGTCGTGGGTAGTGGGAAGCCCAATCCTTTGGTAACGCCCCTGCCTAATTTGCGGCTGCCAGCCACTAGCTTGCGATCTTGTCGATCACGGGCGGGTTCCCAGCTCTTGACCTCGTGCAGGCGAGGGTGAGCTTCAACGTGAGCATGCAGGCGACTTGGTTAGACTGCATGATTTGACTGGTCGCTAGTTACGTGAGCGCTACTTGATGGGCTACGGAGTTGGTCTGGTGCTCCCTCCCTCACGTCGTGAGGAGTGGGAAAAGCACATCCTTGTACGGTGCTTATTGCGGCTTGCCAAGGCACTAGCTTGTCAGCGAGCTTGTCGATCACGGCGGGTCCCAAGCTCTTGAACTCGTGCAGGCGAGGTTGAGCTTCAACTGTGAGCTGCAGGCGGACTTGGGCCGAACTGCCAATGGATTTGACCTGGCGCCTTCGTACTGTGGCGGCTTACTGATGGGCTTTGGAGTACGTGCTCCCTCCCTTCACGTCGTGGAAGTTGGGAAAGGCCCAATCCCTGTACGGCAGCGTAGCGGCTGTCGGATACACTGTTTGTAGGCGAATTCGACTCTTGACTCGTGCGGGCGAGTCGAGTAGACATGCGAATTTCAGTCATCTGGATGATCTTGACTCGTGCGGGCAAGTTGATCATACAGGCGAATCTGGATGATCTTGACTCGTGCGGGCGAGTCGATCATACAGGCGAATCTAGATGATCTTGACTCGTGCGGGCGAGTCGATCATACAGGCGAATCTGGATGATCTTGACTCGTGCGATCGAGTCGATCATACAGCCGAATCTGTGATCAACAAATGCGAGCGAATTTGGCAACCGCGCAGTTTGGGTTCGCGCTAGTGAGTCAAGCCCATGGGTGAGTCCCACCCTCAATTTGTGTGGGCGACTCCACCTCGCAGGCGAATTTCATGTAAGTCTGTAAAGGTAATTTTTACCATCTACAAGACCCCCTTCAAAGTTTTCAGACCTTAATTAACTTGTGTGTGGTCTTGAATACTTTGAATAAAGAAGTCCTGGGCGATTTAGGGTGAATTTAGCCCCCTTTTAGGATTTTTAGCAAACCCTCAGCTATCAACGGGTTTGACTTGCCTTTACCGATTACCGTTTGAATCGGGCTAGCCATACTATTCCCCTCAGTATGATGAGTTATCGAGTAGTTTCTCTTAGGCTTAATGCTAAGATTTCTGCTCTAACCCTTAGTCGTTTGAGGTGTGGGTTTGAGCGAGGCCATTCCATCGGTGGTTCAAAATTCTTTACGAGTCGTACTATCCGAAATTTGTTTTCAACGGCGAATGATTCGTTCAGACGAAATTCAGTTTCGCAGGCAAAATTTGAAATTGTGGGGTCGAGCCATGTCTTCGCAGGTTAAACCCTTCCTTTAGACGGAATTCAATCTGGGGGGATGTGAGCCACGTGTTTGCCGATGAAGCTTCGCTCTTTCCAGCTAAGGCGGCGTGGGTCCGTCAGGTCGCATTAATTACGATCTGACAATGCGACGTTAGCTTCGTGCACCTCGCTCGATGATGAATCGTGGCCATAGTTTTCGAATTCAGCCGTTAGGTTTAGTCGGCGATTTCGGTTCGGGTCCCGGATTTTGGGCGACCCGTTTCCCGTCACGACGGTTTTTTCGTAATCTCAAAAGAGAACGAACTATTGACAGGCAGATTTATATTTGTCAAGTGAATTTTGCTTTTTGACAGGCGGATTTATATTTGTCTAGTGACCTTGCCTGCTTTGGTTTGATAGGCGGATTTACCCCTAGGGCGGACTCCGTCCTGATTCTTTGGTTCTACCTTGCAGCGACCTTTTCTGACGAAGCCCTTCCGAAGGGCGTGGCTATCGGTCTCACCGGAGGTACAAGCTATGTGGTGCCTCCCCGATTCCCTCTCCTTGATACGGTGCCCATATTCGCTGCCGGCATGCCAGATGGATTGATCAAGAGAGTTACTAACGGGCACCATTTGACATTGCGTGAGTTGACTACTGACGCGGTGTTGGTAGACGAGGCTAGGACAGAGCTCAAAAAGCCTCGGTTTTTGTTTGGTGATGCCATGACTGATCCTTCAGCTCTATTTCTTAGGGAGAGCAGGTGGCTCCGCATAGTGGACGGGGTCCACTACTACCTTCCCAGCATGCCAAGAGGGTTTTCAATTGTTGAGTTGTGGTCCCTTGCATTCCCAAGAAAGATGAACTGGGATTTGACCCCAACTCAAGATGGGGTGACTTGCGGTGTCTTCACGGGCTCCACAGCTGGGTACGGGGTGGACAGCTCCTACAAACGTGTGACCGCTTTACGTCCTGGTCTGCCGTTCAACGTGTTGCCTGCCAGGGAGACGACTACGGTCGCGGAAACTTTCCGTCATCATTTCTTTCGGGCTAGGGGAAATTTTCCTCCAAATGACTTCAGAGCCCCGGGGTGGATTTACTCTGCACCTAGTAGCAGCACTTGGTGGTCTAAGATTACTGACTACGTCTTGGCCGAGAATTCTGATCTCATGGATTCAGAGCTGTACGTAGCTATTCGGGCCACTCGACACGGTCTGAAAATCAATGCTCCTCAGTTCCACAACATCTTGGAATTATATTGTTCGGACAGTGGGACGTTCTTCACCCCCAATGGTGAACTCGGCATAACCCTTCATGAGATGTATGACGTGTCAGGGTTACCTTTGGGAAGCTTCCCATATAAGGAGTATGTCCCAGCAACCGTTCCCCCTTGGTGGTTGAGACTCTATGAGAATTTCTCTGTCACTACCATATATGCCTCAGTACCTTAGGGGTGGTAGACCATAAAGGCAAGAAGAAGAGGGCCCCGGAGATCAGTCATAAGAACTGGGCTGACTACTTGTTCCCGGAGAATGATATCAAGGGAAGGCCTACTCTGCCACTGGGCGAGTGTGACCAGGCCGAAGTGGAAAGGAGGATGACCGAAGGGGGAGCTACCGTGACCCTGGAGCATGACGAGGGTAGGTTCAAATTTGGAACGGTTTTCCACTCGTTCCATCACCAGGGCAAGTCCCCTATATCAGGAAAGGCTCTGCTCGCTGGGTACCTCATGTTATGGTTGAAGAGGTGCGTGGTTCCCACACATTCCTTCGAGGCACTTCCGGTAGAGGTCGTCTATCCTGTAGTTTGCTTAGCCCACGGGAAGTCCTACGCATTGGTATCGGCAATGGTGGCATGTATCCATCGGGGACTCCGCACATTGACGGCCTAATTTTGTCGTGTATCGAGTGTCGACGAAGGGGAAGGTGAATTCATTAGGACTCCTAACCCTAGAGTGGGGCTACCCTACACTTACTTGATGGCGTGGTTTGTCTACCATTGTGAGTGCTTGATAAGTGCCCCGGCTACTCTTCAAGGGGAAAAGTTTGTTCCGTTCGTCCAGCGCCTGGAGAGATGCTCGTGGAAGTGTAAAGACATCCCTGACGCGAGGAAGACGCTGTCCCACTTTGGCCATTACAATTTCTATCGTTTCTTCCCCTACTTCAGCGGATGAGGGTATGGCGAGTCTCTTAGCGATGTATCGATGGTGGACCACCACACCGTTCTTTCTTGTGGCGCTTTTCGATGGTTGGTAAATATTCGACCGGAGTATCATATTCTGCGAACAGGCCCTGTGTGCTACCTCAAGCCGTACATTCCTTGCAGATTCGGCCACCAGTTCGGGTATGACCAGCTGTACGTGGGAAACATCAACCCTTACTTACATTTCGAAGGAGGGCTAGTGGATGGCGCTCGGGGATGGTTCTGGACTCATGCTGGTGGCACCCATGCTCATTTTGAACTTCCTGTAAAGGATCGCGATCTGCACCATACGCTCCTGTATTGTCGGTGGTATCAGGGCGCTAGC